CACACCCTGGACAGGACGCCAGTCCATCACACTGCACACACAGACACACACACACCCTGGACAGGACGCCAGTCCATCACACTGCACCCACAGACACACACACACCCTGGACAGGATGCCAGTCCATTACACTGCACACACAGACACACACTCACACCAGTAGCCAATTAACCACCAGTGTGTCTTTACACTGTGAAAGGAAACAAGAGCTCCATACAGATAGTACCCCAGAAACTGAACCCAGGGCCCCAGCTCTGCAAGGCAGCAGTGCTAACCACTGTGCCACCATGCCTCCTGTTTTGGTATTATGATCATTTTAATACAATTTTAGTTACATTGTAAAATAATATAATAGTGATTATATTATGTTTAATGCACAATAGGCAATCTCGCAGACCAAAATATTGCAGACTAATTTTGGGCATTTTTTTTTAACTTAAACTCTGATTATTTACTTTTACTCTGATCTAAATGTTAGGAGGCAGTGGGTTTTTTTAAATTAATCAGACAAAACTAAAACATTAGGAATCAGTATTTCTAGAAATGCATGGTAGAATATACATTTTTATATTCCCAAGCTCAATAATGTAATCTAAAAATTAAACTCTCAACTTTTCTACCTAAAGACCTCTAAAATATGGTCACACAGCCCCCATGCAACAAGGCTTTGCTCCCCTTCAACAACACCCCAGTCTTCTACCTTTTCACACTGGCTCCACGGACCAAGCAGAGTAAGTTACATGGAGCAAGAGTAAGCTCCATGTAACTAATATCAGAACAGGGCAGGTTGCACGATGCAATGATGTCAGGAGAGGGACTGCAGAGGCTTCCCGCACAGGGCCAGCAGGGCCACAGGGCCAGCCTCTTGGCTGCAGTCAGCCCAGCCAGCCAAGTCCACTTCTGAGAGACCCAGATTAGAGCCATAGCCTCAGTTAGAACAGGGAATATCCATGTTTAGAAATACGGATATGGAGGAAAGACCCTCGTTCGAGAGCTTTGAAACCTCTAGATTCACCCCCAGAACGTGTGTAAATATGTGCTTACAGCAGCACACCGTCAGAGCATGCACAGAGGATTAGAAATTAACATGATATTTGATACTGTAAACAAGGGGTCAATACACATTAAGAACAAAATTCAAGGAGGCAGAATTTTTATTATCTCAAATGCTGCGTCTTAAGTCTCAAGTCTATAACATCATATTTTAATGAAGAATAAGTATACCTGTACATATTTGGTCATATTTCCCCCTGGCCTTTACCAGTCAAGTGCTCCATGTAACTAATATCAGAACAGGCCATGTAACTAATACCTCCTAATAATCACCATCTCTGAACTGGCTTCATCACTCTGCTCTCCTCCCCACTGAGAGCTGGTGTGTGGGGAATGTACTGGCGCACTATGGCTGCCATCACATCATTTTGAGTAGAGTGTCCAGAAAAGCACTAAATAAGTGTAAGGAATTATTGTTATATATTTCTTTAATAGTACCTTTTTTATTCAACTGTAAAGATCAAACACACACACTGTTGTGGCAGACTGGCCCTGGTAGGGACTGTAAGAGCAGACAGCCTGCCACCAGAGACAATCGGAGTCCTCTATAGTCTGTAAATTGACTCACTGGATGATAAATGGCTAATGAAAAGGCTTTGATGGCGGTTATTGCCACATCACTTGTGTTAATTACTAGAATATTTAGGTATGTTACAGGCTTTCATGATGCTCAGTAGTAGTCTGTGAAGGATGCTTCCTGCACTGTAAAATATTGTCACCACAGTGTTAATTCCACCTTGTTTAAAGGTGGATGGAGTCTGTTAAAACTGTTTTATATGAAGGAAATTAAATGTCTGTAAAACCTTCAAGGGATGTACACAAAGTAAAATGTATTGATTGCAAGTATTCAGCCTCCAAAGCAGGTACTTTGTAGACACCTTTGACAGTAATTTAGATAGGTCTCTACTAGCTTTGCACAGTGGGATGATGTTATTTTGTCCCTTTTTCTGGCAAAATTGCTCCTTCTGACAGGATCTGTGGGGATAGTTGATGGGCTGCAATTATCACGCCTCTCCTAACATTTTCTATTGGATCTAACTTAGAAATTGAACTGGGCCCCTCCAGGACATTCACCCTTTGTGTGTCAGACCACTTCAGTGTGTCTTTGGCCTTATGCTTCAGGTCACCTCTAGAAATGAGTGCAAGTGCAGCGGAGGGTGGGGGCTCCCAAGTAGAAGCAGAGGGCAATTCTGTGCTGAAAAGTACACAGTTATGTTTTTGGCTGACGAGCCTTCTTCAGGAATGATGGTAAGAGAGGAAGGTAGCAGACACATAAAGCATCAGAGACCAGAGGACATAGTAGGTAGGAAAGTGTGTTCAAGAGATAGGAGATCTGGAGCAGAAATGTGAAAAGCTGGAATGAATGGAGAGTCTATCATTGAGAGCTGCTGGAAGGTGTGATCCAAGTTTAAGAATTACTGTGGCTTCTGGAGTTTCTCTGGAGCTGGAATCCCATGAACCCTCTAAGAGGAAAGTGTAGGAAGGTCCTTGTACTAGTGGCCATGAGAGGTGAATTGAGGAACTTTTGGCTAAAGGAGATCTTTGATCCTCACTGCTCTGATGTGTTTCCTGAAGCTATTGACAAGTGTTCTTCCTGCTCTGTCAATGTAAATGACAGGAACTTCATTCTTCAGTCACTCCAAGAGCTACAGTCAATGAGTTGGCAAGATACTCATGATGTTCTGTGGGTGAATTTGAAATGTTCTGAGGGGCCATGTACAGTAAATGCTCACTACTGGATAGACATTAGCAGGTGATGCAGAGGCGTCTGTTACAGCAACAGGTGTCTGGTGTGGATGGTGGGTGTGGGCAGTTAAGGCAGCTGTGGACAAGATAGTTCCCCATTTAATTGTTAGTGATATGAGATGATAGGAGGGTCTGGGAAAAACTTGGCAGTCTAGGTGGTCACTCTGTCAAATGGTGAAAGTTTCACTGACGACCATGGATTACTCAGAATTTTACTGACAGCAGAATGCTTGAATTTCCAATTTTCATTTTTAAAAAGAAGCAAGTAAACCCACACTTCTGTGATTTAGCTATTCAGGTAGCTAAATCAGTCTGTGTCTGTGTTTCCTTCCTTAGTCTCCAAACTTTTTAAAATCACCTTCATGTACCCATAAATCCCTCAGGGCCCAGTAATTCAGTGGTTCAGTGAATCCAGTGATTCATCAATCATTTTGTGCTTTTCTATTTTGCTTTCTTATTTGTGCACTTGTAAATTGTGTTGTGTTTTTTTTTTAATTAAAGACAGGAGATCTGATTGGAAACCCATTCCCTAGCAAGAGCTTCTTGCAAGTTAATATTAAAATTCCTTTCTGGGAGTAATTCGACTTTCATTGTCTTAAACCAGATGTGTTTTTGTACTAGGTTGGATGAAACTATTTTTAGTTTTATTTGTAAAACAGGGTATATTATTGGGATGTGAATCTATTTAATCCTAATGAGTTAAGATAGTTCTTATATGAACTTGATATACTGTAAGATATTCTTCCTGCATTAGTAGTTCTGTAGTTGCAAACATCAGAACAGTGGCGGGTTAGCTTGGTGTGAAGGAGCTACACATCTGATCCAACAATCCCCCTTATTAAGTGCCTGCGACCTATTTGCTGTAACCTTAAATAAAGCTATCACTGTAAACAGTGAGGAACTGTGAATCCAATAAAAGCATTCCAATGCTGACTTGGTCTGTAATCTGCTTCTGCTCTCTAAACCTCTCTTTTAAATGATGGGAGAAGAGTGCTGCACAAAGAGTGCCCAGTAAATTGAGGTGCCATATTAAAGGAGATCTCAAATGCCATTTTTATATTTCAGGGTTAGAAAGAATCGGCATTGATGAGTGCATTTCAGACTTCAATGAAAGTAAATGCGTACAGTGATGTGTAAAAGGATTGTTTAAATTGTGAAGATACATTTTTTTCTATTTTCCTACCAAGCACTGAGATCACACTCTCACTGTGTTCTCTTTTCGTCAGTTGCTTTTGAGGGCAAAAATGGTAGGAATGGCACCTGGTTTGAGCACATGTTTTGGGTCAGTATCTGAAAATATTTTTCATATTATAAACTGACAGGCTTCATCAATCATGTAATCTCCAAAGCAAAGAAAATTTCAATGCACATGTCCTAT